ATGGAGCTGTTTAAGTGTGAAAACCATTAATACAACAGCTTGGAGCGTGAGGGAATCGGTTCCCTAAGTGTAAAATTCAAATATTTTGACCGTTAAACAGGGGGGAATCGGTACTCCCTTGGGGGGGGAATCGATTCCCTCTGAGCATTCTGTTTTTCTCGGAGCCAAACCATTCAGGGGGAATCGGTTCCCTCTGAGCAATCTGAAATTTTTTGCTTTGAAATTGTTCGAAATATTTTGTAAAATTGTTTTGAAATTATTTTAAGTTTAAAACTTAATTTTACACTTGAGTAAGGATTAAAAATGACATTTGAAAGATTTGTAGTAATATTTTGATATTCGAATAATTATATCGAATATACTTAGAAAATCTTTTGAAAAATCTTAAAATTCATTTATCTTAATTTGTTATATCGAAATATCAAAATGTTTTCAATGATTTGTTATTATTTTAATTACAAAATTCTTTTTTGACTATTATACCCATGCCAGGTGACATGTAACATCCCAAATTAATTGTCCGTCGCAGACATGCACCAAAGTGAGTTACGGAATGAAACGTTCGTCCCAAATTGAACCGAAAAAAGTTAAGCACCAAACTGAAAAAAGAGGCATATGTTGGACACCTTTTTGACTATTAAGCCTTAAAAATAACATGTTTGTCTACTCGAGATTGCAATATTATTTTTCATATTATATTGTATTTTATATACATAAATATGATACTTATGAAAATTATGAAAACATGGTACTTATGAAAATCAATTAAAAGTATAAGTTTGATATACTAATTATATTAATTATATGTTAAATAATTGTTTTTTAAATTTAGATAGAGTAACAATTAAAATATTTTATAAATTTTCATCCAAGTATTTATAATTTAAAATTAAAGTTTTACTTGTTAAAAAATATGTAATACACCAAATTAATCAAAATTTGGGGTATTACAATATATATATATATATATATATATATATATATATATCACAAGAATAATTTGGCAAAACATGCATCCAAGTAATCTTATATTCCTCTAACTAAACACTGTAATCTTATATTATTACTAAACAAACCAAACATGGTAATACAACATTCTCAGAGTAATAATATATTACGGTAATCTTATTCCCAAAGACAACCTTACATTCTATGAACTAAACGTACTCTACAACTTTTGATAGTACCATTAACTCGTCTTTATAATAATGTTTAAAATAAATTTTAGGGTAAATTATGTATTTAGTACTTAAATTATCAGTTTTGGTCCGTTTTAGCACCTAAACTTTTAACTTTTTCAAAAATATACCTAACGTTTAGTTTTTATTTCATTTCAGTACCCTCACCGTTAAAAATTTAGCGCGTTTAGTACCTAAAGTATTAAATTTTATTCGTTTTAGTATCTAAACTTTCAAAAGTTTCCAATACTTGACGTTAAATTTTGAACATATGTACTAAAATGAAAAAAAAAAAAACTAAATTTTAGGTATTCTTTTGTTTTTTTGAAAATTTAAATACTAAAACATACCAAAATTGATAGCTTGGGTACTAAACACGTAATTTATCCTAAATTTTAATATTAGGGATGTGCACGAGATAGGGAGAGCTGATTTTTTTACTGCCCGACCCGACCCAAAAATATAAATCTCATACCTAACTCCATTTTATCCTGATGAATTTTAAGTTTTTTCTGGCCCAAACCTGCCCTTATTTCTAGACTAAAACCTCAACTCCAACCCGACTTGATCTAAATATATTATTATTTTAAAATAATTAAAATAATATATTTTATATTTTTAATAATCAAAATAATATATTTTAATAATATAAAGTAAAAAGCCTAAAATAATATATATATATATATATATATATATATATATATATATGGTTAGATCGACGATTTTTCACCTTTAACCCAAAATTATACATTATATATCTCGTCTTGCTCCGCCCGAGTCTCAGAATTTAAAAAAAAAAAATCTCACCTTAATAGGATCGAGTCGAGAATCATCATATTCAAGTATTTTGACCATCCTTATTTAATATACTAACAACACGATTATAATATATAACTTTACTGTATCCATCAGGTAGGACTGTCTAGAACTTTTATCAGATTATAATATAACTTCTGGCATGAATTGTGAGGATTGGACTGTACAAATTTCAAGGTCCAGTGTGGTCCACCGGCCAACACCAGGCAGTAGAGAAAGATGACGATGCGTGCAATGACTAAAAATTCCACTGTAAAACCGTAAAAGACAATACGATACAATGATGCATTTTACTTATTCTACTTTCTAAATTGAAGTTAAAAAATCTTTATTGGTTAGAAAATTGATATAAAGATGATTTCTTTTAGGGTAAATTACACCGTTACTCACTGTACTATATTTTCTTTCCTATTTTTTTCACCTAACTTTCAATTTTTCTATTTTGCTTATTGAATTTTACAAATTGAATAATTTTACTCACTCCCCCGTTTTCTCTCTAACGGCTACTGATGTGACATTTTATTATTATTATTTAATATAAAATAATTTGAAAAATAAAATAGAAAATAGAAAATGGCTGGATGTCACCACTAACCACCGTCGATCGCCGTAGATGGTGGTCGTTTGGTCCCAAAATGTGATGGGTCGCTTCGCCTCTACATCGTGAGTTCGAATCCAAACTCCATTTTGTCAAAAATTGCTCTGAAGTCCACGAATTTGAGATTGAAAGTGAGGAAACAAAAACGTTTCAGTCCAAATTCACAGGTTTTGGGATATTTTCTGGTGAAACAACCATCATATTCGAACTTAGGGGGTCGAGACGAACCGACCCTTCCCATTTTGGGACCGAACGACCACCATATACGTGGGTCGACAGTGACCGGAATGAAAATGTCAGTGGCCGGTAGAGGAAAAAATGGAGAAGATAAGAAAAAGGGTAAATTACACCATGAGTCATTAAACTTTACTCTATCTCATATTTTACTCACCAAAACGACAGAGTATATTTGAGTTTTTCAAAACAACATCGGTTTGATTCATGTGCCACGTCATAATGCCGTTACAAAGTTAACGGCAAAGTGGGCAAAATGATTAAATCTGGCAAGTTTAGTGAGCAAAATAGAAAAATTGAAAGTTTAGTGAGAAGAATAGGAGAGAAGTATAGTACAGGGAAGAATGAAGAATGATGTAATTTACCCTTTCTTTTATAATGGTTGAAAAACTGTTAATTTCATGATGGATTTTATTACAATACGAAATGCAGAGATTAAATAGAGAAATTTCAATAACTTGGGTCATTCGGTCTTTAACTCTTACCATCACACACCTCTATAATATATATACAGGTAGGATTTAGTTACTTAATGTAAAATGTTTTAATTTTACACTAAATTAAGATAATTGGATGAGTTTAAATTGATGTTTGAGATTCAAAGTTAAAACTGAGAATATTTTCACACACAAAAAAATTAATTTACTGTGTTTTTTTTTCTACCGATACTTGAAACCACTCCCCTCCCAATTTTTTTATAATTAAAAATATATAGCGATAACTAACTATTTGACCCTTCAAATTTTGGTTTATTTTGATTTTGCCCCTCCCATTTTTTATTATTAATTATATTTCGTCCCTCTTCAACTAGAATCCTAGTTCTGTCCTTGTTTGAAACATAAATGCTTCAAGACTCTAAAATAACACCTCTAAGTTCACTATGCAAAATGAAGTGCATAAGATGGAAACATTTTAATGTCAATAGCCAAGGCTGGTTAGCATGTTCAAGTGGGAAGGCACAATCACAAACAAGTACCAAATTTTGCATTCTGCAAAACATTGGAAACCATTTCGGTCATATCCAACAAAGAGTTTAGTGCTGGCTCGTTTGAATTGAAGAAAATCATCTCAAATAAACACTCGACCACGGTGGAAACAACTATCCAAGGTGTTTTTTTCCTAGTACCATATTGGGTAAGTCGAATTAAAGAATACCCTCAACAAACTTCTTGCCTTGCCATCATGTATCCATACAGCAGTAGCAGACTTACACATAACAAATTCCAATAAAAATTCACAGCTCGAAAAAGATGATTCAAGGAAAACAAGTATTCACCAGACTAGGCTGTAAGTCGTGTTGTTTATTCAAACATGTATTCCAAACTAATAAACATATTTATCTTAGTAAAAATGGGTCACTGAATAAACATCCAAAGCATTCAAATACTTTAAGCTCGATAAGGAAAATCCAGCAGAGAAGGAAAAACAAATCCCTAGAATATGTTGATAGATAAAACAAACCTCATTTGTCGAGCTCCATAGCTTGAGCTGCTTTGGAGTTCGAATTCGTGCTGCCTTTCTCTACGAGCTTAAACTATTCTTCTTCGACATTTTCCCCTGCTCGCAACGCCTCCGACTAACTAATAAGATTAGGTCGTTCTTCAGCCCCTTTGCTTAAACCCTAAACATTTATTTGATTCGCAAGGTGTTCAGTTTTCTGTTCAATATTCTGCGTTGTCCGAAGCATAAACCCGCGAGAATCGGTTTTTCATATTTGGGCCGATATTTATCTACCCTGGCCTGACCTGCTTTGTTGAGCTTGGGCCGGTTTAACTCTATTTATTATGCATTAATTTCCTTTTTGATCCCCAATATTTGTCTCCAATCACTCTCAATTTTTAAAGGAGCTTCTTAGATTCAAAACAACCTACTCGTGCGTCGTGCCGGTGAAGTCTTAACAACCTACTCATGGTGCGTGATGGTGATTAAAACGAGAATTTAAATAGAATTAAGAGGAGAATTGAATACCTAAAGAGAGTGTGATAGAAAGGCATCAAAAATTGACGAGGGAATACAAAGAAAAGTTGATTCAGGGTTTTCACTTCCAATACAAAACAACGTAACGGTTAACTGCAAATCATACAATATTATAAATATTAAAATAACATCGTTTAATTAAAGAACCAAAATATAATAACAATTGTAAAACGACAACGTTTAACTAAACACAGAGATCTCAAATCAGAATCATTTTTATTTATATGAAACTGATGCATATCAGTACACCACCACTCGATAAGTATCCTTGTCCTCAGAGATGAAAAGAAAGACTTTTTTTTTTTGGCAAGTCTAGAAAGAAATTCTCCGAATTCAGTACCACTTGTTACTTTCTATAATCTCTTCACAATCCATCAACTACTACCGATCTCGATACGTGTCTAAACCTTCTATTAATATCTGATATAATTGGAACTTAGTGTAACAATGTTCCGGTATATACTTGGAAGAGGATCAAAAGCAATGATATTAACTAATTAGTTAATTGAAAAGAGAGTAAGTGATGATACAAAATGGTCTTGCAGTTCAAAGCTTCGAGTTGACTGATGGGTTCGGAGGTGTAACCAGCTTAAGCAGTACTTCTTGATTCAATGATACAACAAGCTGCAAATCAACATACACGAGTATGATAATCGGCTCGATAACACAAGAATGAGATTTGGTGGAAAAGAGAATGCAACTCGGGACTAAAAAGTAGAAGGGAAGAAAATTGGGATTAAAAAAAAGGAAAACAGATTAAACTAAATACCTCCCCTTTTCTGTTGAACATTTGGCCTGAAAGAAAGCAACGGCTGTCGCAGGCTGTAGGACTCGCAATCTGCATAATATTGATTTCACAAATGATTTTATTTCATTATGAAAGTGAAAAACGTAATTTAATCATAATCCATAAACCTACCACAAGCAATAACCAGTCGTCGGCCCTAGGATTCCGGTGGAACCACATCCTGGGAAACAAGAATGAAAGGTTAAATGATATCGTATGTATGGTTAGGCTGGGGGTTGAGGAATTTGCCGCCGGGTATAAATTTTCTAAATAGCAGATGCTTACGAGTGACTCAAGCTAAGCGAACCCTTTTGGGGGTGTGGATTCAAGCTGACACCAGTAGCTATCATATCTGAAGCAAAGGCCACTGCACATCTACAGAAACGGAACCGCATAAAATCAATAATTCTCAGACAAGACGGGAAACTAGAGTGAATGTGTGCGTCTGAATATTGGCATGGACAAAACAGACTTAAGTAAGCTCGAGTCTTTTTGCCAAGTCATGAGCAGAGATAAATAATAAGGAATATGTATAGCAAAAAGCAAGAGAAATTAGCATTTAACTATTTAAGGGGATCACTGACCTATGCAAAGCTTGATCATCTGAAAGTTCCCCTTTAGCTCTAAACCAATACCTCAAACTGTAAAGCAAAACATCCTTCTCAAATAAGATATCACGCTGAACTGGAAAATGTTAAGGTGGCAGCTATATTGGTTAATTCGTAGTAATATATAACATTCATATTTCCAAGTGAACTGGAAAAACTAAATTAAGATTATGAAGCACCAGAAAGAATGCCTAACCTTGGATCAGATTTCTTCCGGTTTGGATTAGTGTTAGGTGGGCACAACTTTATCTCTACAGGCCAAGGAACAATTTTCTTGACACCCACCTTTTTCCGGTTTCTACTGAAACAAAAGAGAGTCACGGCACATAACAAATTGAAACTTAAAAAACACTATCCAAATAGTGTAAATATTAGGCCATTAGATTGGTTTTTTCCTTCTTTCCTTTTCATTTTTTTGGGGGCGGGGGACGGGGTGGAGTTGGGTTGTAAAAATTGAACAAAATTTTGTTGAACTTAATCAAGTTCTAAAGGAGGTAGCTATACCATATAAAGTATACCAGCAGACAGAAAAATGGAAGGAAATTATTCTCTTAAAACAAAACAGAGAATGTATTGTAAATTTGAAAGCATATTAAAGCTTTGAACATGAATTTACATATATAAATAAAATATAGTATTAGTGAGTACTAAAACTCTTACAAAGGAAGAGGGGAATCAGTGGGAGATGATTTTCCTATATCATCCACCGACGGAAGCTGCAATAGGTAAAAGAGTAATAATTTATCCAATTATCCACCACAACAATTGACTGGAAATGTGAACTAAAGAGTTAAGACTTGAGCATATATTAGATACCCCATCTGGAGCTGGCACCGATGGCATCATTGCTTCTTGATGATCAAACCCTTCTTCTTCTTTCTGTAAAACCACAAGCGGAAGTACAATTAATCTGAGATGCTACTACAACCCATTCAGCAGTTATCACGAGAGCATATATTACAACAGATCTGAAGTACTGTAAAATAACAAGTCTCGCATACTACTTCACCAACCAACCAGTATAAAGAAGTACAATTAATAGAGAAATGGCTGCCGGATAAAATATTGTAGTGTATGGTATCAAACACCTACTTCCACACCTAAAAATGTAAATATCTTCAAATATTTTTTTATGGATAAAATAAGAGATTTATTAACAAGTTGACAACAGGAAAATTCATCTTGTTTTACGCATTGATAGTAATATGTAGAGTTGTCAAGTTTAGCATCCAAAAATTCTGCCATAATTGGATCTTCGTAAACAGATCTCTTATCTTTAGTGTTCTCTAATAGTGTTCTCTAAACACCACTAATACTATTTTATTCCCATCGATATCAGCCTACACATAAAGAAACTGATTATCCCATGAAGGTTAAAATGTAGACCATAATAGTTCTTCACAAATACATAATATAACAGTATACCTACCTGTTAATGTTATTTAACGTTCAAGCTCATACGAAAAACTAAATGAGTCAATAACTGAAGAATTAGGAAAGTAGATGGAAATCTTGTATATAAAATGAGCAAGATACTTCATACCTGAAAAGAAGCTAATAATGTGAGTATGATATTTCCTCTTTGTATAGCATCTACTCTACGGGTAGCAAAGTTTCTACCATCACGTAGACGATTAACTTGATATATTATTGGTACTGTAAAAAAGCACAGCACGGATATAAAGATTTGCCATTGTAGAAATCTGTAGTAGAATACTTTTTCTTGTATTTTACTGATTAGTAGAGAGGGGTATAGATACAACTCTAATCATGCTAAACTAGGTAACATAATATGTTATACTGAAGATAATTAACCTAAGAATCTGTAACAGCCATTAAGAACATTTTCACCTGAGCTGCTAATTTCAATATCAAGATGGATCATTGAGTTTAACATGCAAAGTTCTATGAGCAAAAGCAATGTAAAAGCTATGATTTATTCATGGTGCTTATTTTTCTTGACATGAAAGATCAATGATTTTTTTATCAACAAAACAAATATTAACTTATCTAGCCAAGTGACCAGGAGAGTTGTTAAACATACTGTGTCACATATATGCACTAGAAAGAACAATTTAAAGCTCTTGATATGTCCAGTTGTGAGTTGAAAGGTGTTGAAGGAACATTACCAATTTACTAACAAAATTACATACACATTAAATACAAACACTAGCTAGACAACCATGCTCAATGCCTTTCACCCAACCGTACTTTCTAAGACAAATTCTTAAGCAACAAGTAGAACTGATAATCTTTTGGAGGCCTAAAGTGAAACAAATTTGCTTATCTTACTGCAATTTTTTTTCCTAAAGAAATGAATGTGGGAAATGAGTTTATAATTTCTCTATCTACTTGACATTTTGGCACCTAGTTTTTCTATCTTCTGGCTTTATTTACTCGCATTATCTAACTTCAAGTTTAATAAGTACAGGAGGCTATGTTATCCTTCCATATGATAGGAAGACAGTGGATGAAGAATGGGATTTATTAGCTTGGACGTATTTCAAATTGCTAAAGTTGTGAAGATTGGAAATGCAGAAAAATGACTCATTCACGGTGAGTCATGCAGAAATTTAGTTAAACTGTAATCATACAAATAGTATTAGATTTCTGAAAACCAAAAATATATAATGAATATATTTTCTGCAGAAATTCTCATAGATAAGGCACTTACTATTAAAATTCCCAGCCTTAAGATAATAAGACTGCAAACTATGCACAATTTTAAGGCAATCAACAGTTTTCGATGCTGCTGCAAGTGCCTGAATAAATGATGACAAAAATGAAAAAGAAGGAAGCGATCACCTCAGTTTAAATAGCATGAAAATCAACAGGAAGCAAAAAAGACAAGAAGCCATATAGTAAATTTAACCACCTAATGTTGACAAATCAGAAGCACGCACAATATTTGCATATCATGACACAAGCCAAGTTTCTTTATATTCTCCTTCTCTCTCTCAAAAATTTGTGCACAAAGTGTAATGCCTTGCTATGACCTAATTACTAACCTTTTATATATTCATATAAATAAACTAATGAGTAAAGCTCCTTATATTTACCATTTGTTCAACACTCAATACGTTTAGTGTTTGAGTGCCAGCAATTTCATTTTTAAATCATTTGTACCAATCAGGAAAAAAACTATAGATATTAGGTCATCGTTTAACCTCACAAACTACCACTGGAAACTTACTATCTTAACCTAAAACAACAGTGTTGAACTATATTGACAACAATATGCATCAAGCAAACCAATAAATACAAAGGAAGCATACTAAATTATGTTATAATACAAGGTAAAAGTGAGGAACCATGGGTAAACAAGGTGGATAAAGGAGGGATAGAAGTACAAACATGCCTGTCCAACTAATTGTCCTCCATAGACCTTCCCAAATTTTGGTGCATCTGGCAGAGTAATCCCTTGGAATATGTTCAACTTCAACAAATAGGAAAAATAGTCTAAGTATAGAGGTTATTAGAAGAAACTAGTTAGATTAGTTGTTTTTCAACACTATTAACATGTTTCTAAAGAAAGAAAAATGTTAGAATTTGAAGTATACCAAGAAAACATGAACTCTTAAAACTTCTCGCTTTCTAATGGCAACAGAATAAATATAGGAAAATGACAACAGAAACATACTTCTATTGGCTCTAGATGCAATATACTTTCCACAGGTGCACAGGTCTCAGGCGTCTTATCTTTGCTCCAGATAGATTTTGACCAAAGCAAAGTGCAATGTTTATGAGGTAGAAACAGGCAGGTCAGCTGTAGCAACGGTAGTCCAAATTATTTTTATCATCATGTGCATTTTTATAAAGTCAAGAGTGGTTGGAACGCTCTATCAAGGAAAGTTATGGGAAAAAAAAGTAAGAAATATATAGCTATACCTTAGTTAAAGCGATCACATCTGCCACATGAACCGATGTGGGATTACCTGCAAAAGCAAGCTCAATTATATTCATTTTAGGACTAATGTCTCCATTGCTAGTTGATTTTAGACCATTCCTATTCATATAAGATTAGTCAAAGACATGAATGCACATTGCACAGACAACTCTACATACTAAAACAATCCGATATTGAAAATTGTTAAAACATCACATGAAGGAATGATCAAAAAGCTTTAACCATGGCCAAAGTAATCATATCGCTGCAACTGATACTCAAGTCGATTTTCTTCTTCAGCATGGACTGATCCAGATACTTCAGCCTATAAAGCACGAAATTGAAACTCAGCAAAAAGGAATCTATTTGGTTTATATATTTGCTTCTGGAAACAAATATCAATTATTTAAATACAAAATTATCAGATATTTCCTGATCGTCAACATATATATTAATAATTTTTGACAAGCAAATGAAGAAATAAATAAAACAACCGAACAGAAGAAATAATAAATAATGGTATGTAAAAAAGAAAAACAGACCTCTCCTTCCCACACGAAATATATTCCGTCTCCAACTTCTCCTTCCCGAACGACATAATCTCCTTTCTCTGCAACGCAAATTATTTTAAGCAAAGCCAATAAATAATCATTTTTAGAACATTTCTTCGTAGTTTGATTTAACCAGATGAAAGACTCTGTTTGGTAGCATTTGCAGCAAATCAAAGAAAAACAGACGCAGTAACGCGGATCAAATGAAAAATGAAAACGCTAATACTTCATTTAGCTGAATTTCGATCAGAACATCATAAATTACCAAAGTGCTTAAAATTCACGAGTTCAGCTATTCTCTTGAGCGAAGAACTCGGTAGTCTCTGGAGCAACGGAACATTTCCTAAAAACTCGACCACTGCCAAAAAAAAAGTATCACAGAGATCGCAGAAAGTTAGAGCATTATTAGGAGGTGGAAGACTAAATTGTGCCCCAAAAAAACACTTATCGCAGTTTCCCGTTAACCAATCGGAGGAAGACATGAAACTAACGAACAAACCCAAAACTCAGAAACATTCACCTGTTTCGGTGTTCATACCGAAGCTTGGAATAACGGTATGAGCTTAATCTCGCGAGGCGGAAAACGCAAAAGGACTTGTGTGAGATCTGAGATGGATAACCGTTAACGAATTGTGGGGATCAGGCGAGTGCGGGGTTAAAACGTGGATTTGATTATATCACACATATATTACACACATAAGAGGAAGATAACGCTGGCCAGTGAGGATCCAACTTTTTAGGTTAAACTATACGATTTACAATCTAATTATTGTTATTTTTATTTTGATCATTATTTTTTAAATTTTATTAATTAAGTCATTTAACTATTTAAATATATTCAATTAAGTCATTAATATTTAAAATAAGTATTGATATGACCTTTAATAAAATTAATATAATTTTATATTTAATCTTTAAAATTTATATATTCTATTAAATTGATCAAATTTTAATTCAATTTAATAAATTTAATCTCTAATTAAATGACGACACGTATTATTACCGAGTTGATATTTTGTGTAACATAAATCTGTCCAAAAGGGATTAAACCAATGACATTAAGTCACCTCAAAGCACGCCTGAACCAGCAGGTTGGGCCTCTCACTTGATTATTATTTAAAAACTTTTATATATAAGTTGTTATAACTAATGACAGAGGAAAAAAAAGAGGAAACCAACATGCTTTTAAAGGATTTAAACTTAAGAATTTAAGAGGGAGCAACGATTTTCAAAAAAATAAAAAGAAAAAAAGAAAGAAAGAGGGAGTGCACTCACTTTAGCCATTAAACCAAATCTTATATTAAATTAAAATTTATAATATATATATATATATATAATCATCAAATTGAGTTTTTTTTATAAAAAATAAAATTTAAATTTTTATATTTCTTAACTAGATTTATTTTTTTATATAATTTCTTTATATATAATCATTAAATTAACTTTTTAATATAATTAATAATTTTAACTTTATTTAATAATTATATATGAATAAATTATATATATATTTAAAGATTATTAATTATGATAAAAATTAAAATTATTCTTTAGTTATTGAAAAAAATAAATGTAATTAAAATCTAAATTTGGTGAAATTAATTTTAAGTTCAACAATATTAAATTTAATTTTATACATATTGAATTGAATTTAAAATATATATGAAATGTATATATTAGTAGATCGTTAACTAATTATACTTAAATAGTTTCGGTGCTTATATACTTTCTTAAAAATAAAGATTTGATTTATTTTATTATAAAGTATTTTCGATTACTGAAGTTATTTTCTCTTTTGTTATAATACATGATAAATGTAATATGTCGTAAGATGTGAACTAAAATTGAGCATCGGTCCATTGGTAATAATTCACCCAAACACCCCATAAGACATGAGTTCATTTCTCTTTAGCTGCTTATTTTCCTTTCAAATTTTTTTTTTTTTACATTAGATGGTCTTCAGCTGGAAACCAAATATATAAAATGTTCTTAAATATTACTAAGTGAGGGCTTATCCCAATGGCCTAGGTGTTCTTTGGAGTGCTCTAAGGTACTGGTTCAATTATCATTAAAAGCAAAATTTATAAATATTGAGATCAAATATTTAATTCAATCAAGTTTATTAATTACAATGCTAACAATTTCATTAAATATTAACGAAAATGGCATGATTGAATAATTGGTTGATTTGATTGACAACTTTTTAAAAATAATGGTCAAAATGAAAAAGATCAGTAATATAATTTACCCTATTTTAAGGTAAGCACATATATCAATTGAATTTTTTTCCTATAAATTGTAAATCTAATCTTAATTCTATCCGGGAGGGAAGGGGAAAGGAGATTCTAGGAGAAAGAATGAGAGTGCTCTCATTGAGTCTGGAACCCATGACCTAAAACAATTTGACCAACCAGTTAAATGTGCTGGCTCAAATACCAATTATTATTTTTTATTAATTTAGGGCGATTACAAGCAGTAATATATATTTTAAAGACTCAAACATTTGAAATGAACAATCAAATATCATGACAATTGATATTGCTCGAACCCAAAACCTTTAAGGATAACAACTATTCTTTTAGGGGAAGTTTAGTTCACGAAATGTAAGGTTGCCTTTGGAATAACATTACTGGAATGTAACATTACTTTGAGAATGTTGTATCGTCTTGTTTGGTTTGTTTAGCAGGAATGTAAAATTGCAATGTTTGATTAGATGAATCTAATATTACTTGATTGCATATTTTACTAAATTATCCTTGGGATATATGTTTAAAAATAAATAAAATCTAATATTAAATTATAAATATTTGAATGAAAAATCATAAAAATATTTTAATCCTCATACTATCTAACTTTAGAGAAAAATGCATTTAATATATAATTAGTATATTAAACTTATATTTTTAAATAATTTTCGTAAGTAAGTATGATATTTATTTATATAAAAATAAAAAATTGCTATTAATCTCATAAACATACCATTTTAACAAAAAAAATGATACTATTTAGAAAAAAATTATTTCATAACAAAATACAATAAAACAGTGTAAGCAAATGGAAAAGTTAGTTAGTTTGAAACTTAAAATTACTTGCTATTAATTTAAGCCTTAACATTTACTGACTGTTAAGATCATGGTCTCTTTTGCTCATAACATAGTTAGCTGACGTAGCAATAAATTGCATAATTTCAAATGAAAGATTAATATTTAGGTTAAATCATAAATTTATTAGTATTACTTTTATTTAAACGAATAAAACGGTTGCACGTCTAAATAAAATAAAATAGTAAAGAGAGGGCCCAACCGGTGAACTCTTGATCTGGCAGTCGAATACCCTACCACTGAGATATGGACCCTTGATGGCCAGGCTTATAGAACATCATTTTATAAATTTAAGCATTAAAAGGACGAGATAAAAAAAAGGGCCCAACCGGGTTCGAACCGGTGACCTCTTGATCTGCAGTCAAATGCTCTACCACTGAGCTATAGACCCTTGCTGATCTAGTTTTCATAAATTTAATTTATATAGTTAAAATTTAAGATTTTTAATAATTAATGGTAGATATATTGTACATCAGGCACATTCAATTTCTAAGATACTCTTTACTAGTTCTAAGTCAATGGCACTCCAGTTCCTTTTCTCATTTCAAGAACTACGGAATCGAGATAACAAGAGTATACTAGCAAGTAGCAAAGTTAGAAATCCAACTAAAAACGTAAGTTAAAAAGCAATACTTATACACATGACGATTCCCCAAATGTTAATACAACGTTTGAGCTCCAAAAGCATTTACTGTTTATGCAATATTTAGCCCACAATACATGTCAGAAAGATTTTCACTCTCCCTCTAGACCTGAACTTGCTTGAGCACTTCGAAACGATTCCTTTGTTACTCCATAATAGACTGGTTGGTTCCCTGTAAAGGTGATAAAGTTCCACCCAAAAGCCGAGCCTCCAACAATATATGTTCCCTGAGCTTCACCAACATCAGCTTGTAGTTTCCCGGTGACACTACTTGACTGCAAAATCTTGGTTTTGGATAGTACTGCTGGTGCTGGCTTAACGACTTGCGCTTGCTCCTGGGGCTTCTGCTTCATTCCAGTTTCAACTTGCAGTGTCTGGCCTCCGGCTCCGGGTGCATTGTTACTTTTCTCTACGGAGGCTAACATCTGCTTGTACAATTCCACTAAACGCTTTGTCTCTGTAAATCACAAATTTTGAAAGCGTAAACTTTAGATTACAAATCAAACATTAATATCCTCAGCACAATGTGATCAGCAACGATAGATCATATTCTAATCAAGTGGTTTACATGACAAAATGTTCAACATTAGCAACCGGCTAACTGCAAATTAATGTTATAAAAAGTTTACCTAAAACAAAATTGCAGGTGCAGTACTCTGTCATAAAACAAGTGGTATGAAGCCACATCAAGAGAATATCTCCTTATAATAGAAGTGATTCGAGAAATAGGGAAACTAATACAATATTATTTAATGCCCATCTGGCTCTGGAATGAACCTTTTTAATGTGGAATCAAGATGCTCAGGTTCTTAGGCTTTTCTGGTAAAACAGATCATGACTTTTTAAACGCCAACAAGTGGATTAACAGAGGTTTCACATAGCCAAGTCATATTGAAGTTTCTCCATCCAAGCCTTTTGAAATGGAAAAATCTGCGTTTCCACTTAAAAGAACCAAAGTTAAATGGCAGCTAACAGATGTCAAACAAACTAATAAGATGCTAGTGCTTTTCTTTTCCAACAGGCTAAGACGATAGATAGCAGTAACCAATCAAATCCATGAAGACAGCAGTTTGCGACAGTTACCGAGCCACAGACAATATAGTATTAAAATGGATTAATTCACTAAGCCAACAGTTGCATAACTTAAAAATGTATATTGTGAGCTTACTTTCTTTGATTTCATCGGCGGCCCTGCAGTTCCGGAAATCAGACACACTAAGAACCTTCAAGGAACAATGTCGTAACCGGTTTTCGCCCGAGCACGAAATTTTTACTTGGCAGAAAAAATAAATGATTTTGATTTAAAAAATATTTTGAGAATCGCTATTGGCTTTTTTTGGGTTAAGTAGGTCAAATACCTAAAAACAATCTTTTAAAATAATTTTCAAGAAAACATAATTTAAAAAATAAACTGATCTGCGTATAACAAAAAAAATTTAGTAAAGAAGGGATTCGTGGTCGATTACGTTTAGGGAAGGATTAGCACCCCTATAACGCCCAAAATTAGTACTCATTAATTATAAATTATTTCTATTATTAGAAATTTAAAAATTTAAAAAAATATTTAATTCATAATTTTGTTATTTCAAATTTATTACTATAATTTTAAGAATATATATATATATATATATTATATTTTTATAAATAAAATATTTATTTATTTAAAAATATCAGAAAAAGACTTTTAATTGCTTTAAGACAATAATTTTATTAATATTAAAAAAAAATATTAATAAAACATTTCTCAAAAAATAATTAAAATAAATTAATATATATATATAATTTGTAAAAGTATGATATTTAGTTATTTAGAAATATCATAAAAAAACTTCCAATTTTTTTAAGACAGTCATTTTCTTTAAAACTTCTAGTGGTGACTCATAATAGGGTCTCGACGTCGGTGGTGACACGACGCTTTTGGATACTTCTTCGAGGCGGCGACGTCGTAGTTGCAGCGGGTTGGGTCACCTAACAATGGGAGCATCGACAATGGCGTGGCAGAGGCGACTGGAAGCTTGAGGCGGCGGCTGGGTGATAACCTAGGGTTATGAAACCCTAGGATTTCATGCTGGACTCATGTGGATCGTTGGATCAAGGTCAGATCTAACGGTGGAGAAGAAAGACGGCTGAAGAAGATGATACAAACTCTAGGAGGGTTTGGGTCATCTGGGCCAGATCGGGTTGGGATTGTGATTCTGAGCTTTCCCTATTTGTAATTGGGTTGAGTATGATTTAGGCATGTAATAATAATAATAATATTAATAATAATAGAAAATAAATAAAATAATAATAAAAATAATAATAAATAAATAAACCAAATGAAAAAAAACTAGTGTCTTCAAACAGAAAATCAATATCGCATCATATCAACAAAATGTTCCACGGATATAGAAAGCACTAAAAGAAAATAAAAACAAAAAGTAACTCATACAATCAATCCAGATTGATGAAACTACTTCAGGCACACATAAATTTTGCCATAACCTTTACATTGCTCTTTCAATAACCAAACATCATGCACAATGGAACAAACCATGAAAACTATCTTTAGTTAAAGAAAAAATAAACTTCGAGATAACCAAGAATAATAAGAACACTTTAAGAGAAACCCACAAAATAAGAACACCTAAGAACCCAAACTCAAGAATTGAACAATTATAATCCAATTTTACTGCCATATACAAATTATTGGGTAAGTCAAGGGGAGGCTAGTCCAGAAAACCGAAACTTGCTCACAAACAAGGGTTTCTTTTTCTCTTATTTGAAATCAATATGCAATAAATGGGGGAAATTGACAATAAAAACAATAAATAAATTGAAAAGAGAAGAGGAAAATTTTGGAAATATATGAATACACCTCGATGAAATGAGGACGAAGATCTTTGAGAGCAAGACGCATCTTGAAATACGGAGAATTTTGGTACTGATTATTGCTGTTTTCTAGAGGTCTTTTCTTGCTAGCCGGCTGTTCTGGTACTGTGGGTGGTGGCTGCTGTGGAGGAGCGGCTGCGTTGGCGGTTGCTGTTGGTGGGTTCGGGGCAGCTTTCGGCTCTTCCATTTTCACAGTCGAAAATAGCAAAACGATGGACTGTTTTTCTTTCAATCGGAGACTTTCTGCCTCACTAAACAAGCCACTCGGATCTCGGAGACCCTTTAATAAACCTCCCAATGTCCTATCTGCTCCTTAGATTCTTCGACCCTGCTATCCTCTTCTAAATGGTCAAATACTATTACTTGTCCTTATATTATGCATAAATTAATAATTTAGTTCCTTGATTTGATCAGCTTTAATTTTTATATTAAACTTTTAATTTAACTCAAGTAATACTTAAGTAACAAGATCAAATTATAGGATTTAAAATGAATAAGTTGAATGTACAATTTATATATAATACATAAATTATACTAGTAAAATTTGGTTTAAGATATTTCCCTACTACTATTACTTAATCTAGAATTAAATTTAACCTTTAATTTACTCTAAATTTAATAGAAATAGTAATTAAGACATTAACTTTTTATAATATTAAATTTATAATTCATACGCACTTTATTATTTAAGTGATTAATATTATGTCATTAATTTCAGAACCGATTTTATTTTAATCCATTAGATTTAAAATTTTTAATTTTGATATTTAAATTTAAAATTTTAATTATTCATCGTTAAATAATTAATAAATGAAGAACTTTTTTTTCCTTTATTTCAATTGATATAATAATATTTCTAATTTTTAATATGAGTACATTTCATTAATCACGTGTTTCTTCTCATTGTTTAAAATATTTAATTGTATTAAGTAAATATATTATATAAAATAAAGGTACAACTGAGTTCAAGTGATAAAAAATTTAATATCTTTGCCTTTTGCTACCTAGAATCTAGATGTACACAACAGTATGGTTGAACCATGCGCAAAGAAACGATAATCATAGGATATCTATGTATATTGCACACAATTTCTGGTAAATACAAAATATATTGGCTTCTTACTGACCTCATGTTTCTGGGAACCATTCAAGCCACAAGTTCTGCACTTTTAGAGAACGGTTCTACAATTCCTGCAGTATATGAGACCAATATACCACATGCCAGTTTAAAATTGCCAGTTTAAAGTTGTGGATTACACTGCGTTGTTTTTCCCCATGGTTGAGTTCTATGGAAATGCTTCATGAAAGCTTATTTATCATACGAAATGGAATTTCCGTTTTGATGCTTACAACAACCTGAAGTGGCAAATCAGTAAGGTAGACCAAGAGAGCTTACATTTTGACTGGTTCGGGGTATATGTACGAAGAGAGAGCCGGCTTTGAATCCACATATGCCCTTTTTTCTGCAACTATTTCAGCTGTTTTCCACTGGTTTAATTGTTTTCCTTCGGAACATTTGCAAATTTGAAGATGGAAGGTCTAATTTCCAATGTCAGATCTCGGTGTATTTCAGCTGTTTTCCTCTGGTTTAATGGCTTTCCTTTGGCACTGAGTTTAAGTTGAAGGAGGAGCAGATGGCATGACATCTTCCATTGTGATCGCGAAACCGATAGCGCGGAGTTCTTGAAACATGAAAGGACCGAAAAAGTAAAACTACTTAAGCTATCGAAAAATGGCAAAAATTGGAAGCAGTGACGGTTAATATTGTAGGAAGGTACAAATGTTTCTTCATCGTAATCTTGAGATTCGGAGTCATCAAAGTTAATCTTCTTTTCTTTTTTCCGTTCTTTTATCTTCCTTTTCACAGATGTTGACCATGAAAAATTTCCGCCTCGTGTGCTTTTCCTGGGAATCGAGTCAATGAAATTTTCTGTTTGGTTACTAGTGAGAAAAAGAACACAAAGGAAGAATGATTTTGTTCTCTTTTAACCCTTCTTGATTTTCTGGCGGGTAGGAATGGTCAAACTTCTATACGACGCCGTTAACTTGACAAATACGACGTCGTCTCGCTTTCCTCTAGACTGCGCACATTTTAGAGTGTGTCCCTATCAAATCAAAACGCCTAGGAAATCTCTCCGACTGCAGTTTTGTTTGCCGTTTAAGCTCGAGTTTTCAAATTTCAAAACCCTAATCTCCTCCCAAAAGGGAAAAAAAAACTTCAAATCTTCCCCTTTTACTCCATGGCTCTTAACATCAAACACAAATCCCCCGAGACTGGCATTGACAATCGACGAGTTGAACCGGAGCTTGACTCCGAAGCAGACTTGGAGGAGCTGGAAGCCGATGTGAAGAAAATGGCGGAGGAGATTCTAGAATACAGATCCACTATCCCAGATCAACTCAAAGACACTCTAGCTTCAGTTTTCTCTTCTCAAAGACCCAACTTTCCCGATGTCGGATCGGAGCCTGGATCATCCGGAGAGCTTAATCCAGGTAGTTCCATAAACTTTTTGGGGTTCGTGAAATCGAGATCGACAAATCTCTCCTGATAATTGACATAAATATTTTGGTTTTCATATATTCAGAGGAGACGGAGTTGGAGCAAAGGACGAAAGAGAAGATACAGCTACTTAAAGAGAAAATTTCAAGTAACATTTCAGCAATGCGAGCGATTTTGAATCGAATGAAGAAGTGTATTTCAAGGATGGAGGTGCTGAGTTCTGGCAATGGCGTTATACATCCTGCTTTTAAGAAGAGAAGAGTGGTCCGTCAATGAAAGTTGATTTTTTTTTTCATAGGGTTCATCAATGGTGATTGATTTTCATTAGTCTTTTTAACCCTTGTAGCTGTGTAACTACTTGAAAGCATTGATTTCCTTGTCTGTAACGCAAAGCCCTTTGTTGATAATCAACAGAGGGGGCATCCTTGTATTGATGTGCAAATTATTTTAGGCGTGTATTTTATGTTTTAGTTTCTATGTTATCGACACCACATATTTAGATAAATAAGACGATTTGAACATATCAAGAGTTTAAAGAAGATTGAGCAAAATTATTGCATAGATATTCTAATCAAGAGTCAAGATCTTCATAGGTAAATAACACCTCGATTTTAATGTTAATGTTAGGTCTAAGATCATGATGATTATTCAATAAGTAATCTAATTACACCAATATGATTATGAGATAACATAATCAGTTTTAACAGATTATGTGGGTTGTCAAGATCTGTTGATTACATAAGGATACAATGTTTCAAAAACTTGGATCAGCAAAGGAGTTCCTCTTAAGGCAACAATGGAGGTATAGCTTGCGGAAGAAATACAACACTTGTCTCACTTGATCGAGAGAATGTGATAAATTGACCTAACGTTAAAATCATCTAAAAGAGAGCTAAAAGATACTCTTAAGCCTTGAGAGGCAAAACAAGGCAATCAAAAATAGGAAAAACTACAAGATCTTCAACTCATGTAACAATTCCATTTAAAGAATCACTACATACATAGTAATTATAGACTTTGAAGAAATAAGCGTTCAATGCTTCATATAGCCCAACATTTATTTCAAAATAATCTCATTATTTCAAAATAATCTCATTATTTCCAGTGAGTTCTGATAGATAAGCACTCACAATCATCCCACCATATTTCCTGCAATGCTTGTAAGGTAGCCTTGTATGTATGGGAAAAGTCTCCCAATTGGACCCCGCTACGACAAGTAGAACATAAAGTGTCCCACTCCCATCTACAACTCCCCCACTAGCCCGACACCATGTAAAATCACACGATGTCCAGATCAATGATGTGGTTGAAGTATATTAGGAGTTGGCGGTTTTCCCATACTTGAGAACCTCCTACAAGCTTATTGCTGTCGGAAAGAGCATTTACCTGAGGGGATGTTTTTCTATGTCGAAGAGTCCTTAAGGCCAAAAGGTCATCAAGTTTGACCATAAAGATTAATACATTACTAAATATTTTATTATTATACGGTCGTTCAAAGCTTCGAGACACTCGACAGATTTGGGGGCCTAGCCATCCTAAGCAGTGCTTCTTGAGTCTGACACAACAAGCTACAAATCAAGATATACAAGTATGATGATTAGGTCTATGACACAAAAAAGGAATTTGGTGGAACAAGGGAAGGAACAACGAGATAAAGAAATGATAGACTAAATACCTCTTCCTTTGTGTTGAACATTTGGCCCGAAACAAAACCACGAGTTACACAGGCAGTAGGACTTGCAATCTGTGTGGCATGGTTCCGTAAACGATTTTCTTTCATCAAGAAAGTGAAAACAAATTCAAACGTAATTCATACGAGAATATACATCGTCTTGAACCTACCACGAATAATAACCAGTCATCAGCCCTAAATTGCCTGTGGAACCACATCCTGGTAAACACAAACAAAAGAGTAAAAATGTCATATACGCATAAGTTTTCTAAATACAGAAGCAAGCAAGCAAGAGAATGAATTTTGAGTTGTGGAATATGTGACTCAAGGATGAAAGAATTGTCGATATTAGGTAGATTATAGCAGATGCTTACGAGTGGTCCAGGCTAAGGGAAACTAACTTAAAACCTCTTCTGCGGTGTGGGTTCAAACTAACACCACTAAACATCAGATCAGAAGCAAAAGCCACTACACATCTGTAAAACAGAAAATTAATAAAAGATAAGAAAGCTTGATCTACAACCCCAACCTATATATACAGCTGTTGCCATAAGCTAATAATTCTCTGATAAGATGAGGAAGTAGAGTGGATGTGGATGTGCGAATGGCCATGGACAGAACAAACTCAAGTAAGCTTATATTATATGCAAAAAAAGGTTCCTAGAATTTCGCCAAGTTATGAGCAGAGCAAAAGAAGAAAGGTGTATGTATAGACAAAAAGAGAAGCATTTAGCATTTAAAGGGATCACCGACCTATGCAAAGCTTGATCATCTGAAAGCTTTCCTTTGGCTCTAAACCAATACCTCAGACTGTAAAGCAAAAAATCATTTTCAAATAAGATATAGCACTGAACCGAAAAATGATAATGTGGAAACTAAATTGGTTAATGCATATTAATATATAACATTCATATTTCTAAGTGAATTGGAAAAGCTAAGATTTTGTAATGCCAGAAAAAATGCCTAACCTTGGTTCAGATTTAGTCTGGTTTGTATTAGTGTTAGGTTCACAAAACCTTATCTCTATGGGTCAAGGAACAAATTTTGTTGTGGCCACCTTTTTCCGGTAACTCCTGAAACAAAAGACTGAGGCATTCCATATAACAACAAAAATAAAAAAGCAAACTATCCAAAGACAAATATAAGGCCATCAGATATTGTTTTTCCATTCCCCCCCCTCCCCCCCCTTTTTTTTTGGGGGGGTGGGTGTGTGTGATGTCAGAGTTTACAACAAAACAAAGAAGTAACCCAGTAAAAATATAGAATAAAATGAAATAAGAAACAAATGTATTGAAATCATATTAAAGCTTTGAACCATGGAAAATTTACATATATAAATAAAATATAGTATTAGTGTTGTCGTAACCGGTTTTCGTCCGGGCACGAATATATTAAATTTGGCGGGGAAATTGATGTGAATAAATGGTTTTGAAAATAATTTGGGAGTCGCCATCGGCCTTTTGGGTCAGGTAGGTCGAATACCTAAAATTTATTTTTTTAAAAGAGTTTTAAGAAAACACCAATTAAAAAAATGAGCTGATCTGCGTTTATAACCAAAAATTCGTTCTTTTTAATAATAAAAAGGGATTCGTGGTCGGTTACGTTTAGGGAAGGATTAGCACCCCTACAACGCCCAAAATTGGTACTTTTTAATTATAAATTGTCTCTATTATTGGAAATTTAAAAATTCAAAAATATATATTTAATTTATAATCTTATTATTTCAAAATTATATAAAAAATATTTATTTATTTAAAAATATTAGAAAAGAACTTCTAGGTACCTTAAGACAGCTCTTTTCTTTGATATTGATTAATTTAAATAATATTGTTTACTTTTTAATTTTAAAATATCAGAATAGGACATCCAGTTGTATTAAGACTGTCCTTTTCTTCGATATTAAAAATAAATATTTAAAAATTACTATTTATTATATATATATTTATGAATACATAAAAATATTTAATAATATAATAAAATAAAAATAAAAATACTACTAAAACAATATATTTAAAAACAATAAAATAAATGAAAGCATATAAAATAACTGACTAAATTACAATAAAAATAAAATTAAAAATCTAATTCATAATTAATCAAAATTATATGGATTAAATATGTTATTTCTTTATTTTATTTATTTAGTGACTAAAATAAAATTATCTAAAATTCGGATATTAGAATAAAATAAATTAAAATATAAACTAAGGATTAAAATATTATTTATTAAAATTAAGGGATTAAATCTGTAATTTATCCTAAATATATTATTTTAATATGAAGGACTAAAATAAAAGAAATTAAAATTCGAAAACTGAATTAAAAATATTATAAATTCAATTTAGTGACTAAAATGTAAAGTTTACAAGTTCGGAGGACTGCGGACGGGGTTTAACTATTTTATAATTACGCGCATAGTCCTTCCCGAAACGACGTCGTTCGGAAGGACTATAAAGTCCAAAAACCGGGGCCCGAAGGGCCAGCTTCATTTCATCATTTTCTTCTCTCTCTCTTCTGAGAGAGAGAAATTTTCTCTCGCTTCTCTCTAAAACAGAGAGAAGCCCAGCCGGCCGGCAGCCGTTAGCCGGCGTTCGTCCGCCGTCAACCACCGCCGCCGCCACCGTCTTCGATGGCCGGAAATTTTTTTTTTACATCTAAATGTAGATCGGACCGTCCTAATGACGGTTCCGATGTTTTTTTCCGTTAAACGGCTCCCAATCGGAGCAAATCTAAAAGAATACCTTCGGCTTTTCGAAGGTTTTGGTGAGATCTGACGTTTGGCCTCCTCGGTAAGTCTTTCTCCTCCTTTTTCTTCTGTTTTTGGTTGCTGGATGTTTGACTGAGATCGTTGGTTTAGTAGTTTTTTTTTCTTTCTCTGTTTTTTTCTTTCTCCGGTTCTGTCTCTCTCTTTTTTTCTGTCTCCGTTTTTTTTTTTTTGTCTCTGCTTTTTTTTTCAGGTTGGGGTGGTGGCTTTTATAGCCACCACCGGTGTGGCCGTCGGACCGGTCCGACGAGGGGGTCTCGGTGAGTCACCGGACTACCAGTGGTGACTCACCCCGTAGCCATGGCGTGGACGGCTGGTGTTCTAGCTTCTGGAGTCTTCGGTTGGGACGTGGCAGCGGCGGAGGCGGCGAGATAGCAGCGGCGGCCGCGTGTCCCTAGGGTATCAGACCCTAGGGTTTCCATCTGGGGCAATCTGGACCGTTGGATCTCTCAGATCCAACGGCTGTGATGAGGCGGCCGGCTAGATTAGGGTTAGGAAACCCTAACTGGAACCCCAAATGTTTAGGATTTCTGGTTTGATTTGGACCGGTTCTGGTTTGTTTGTAACTGGGCCGATCCAGTTGTAATTGGTCTGTAATTATTTATTTATATATTTATTTAATATATTTATTATAATAATAATAATATAATAATAATAATAATAATAATAATAATAATAATAATAATAATAATAATAATATGGATAAAAAATTAGTATCTTCAGCTGCCCCTCTTTGCTCATTCTTGTATTAACAAGAATAGGGCAAAGATGAAAAGATAATAAAATTTTTTATTCATTTGGCTTTACTTTGATCATAATGGATATATTGAATAAATTCTTCTCTCTCTCCAGATGAGTTCTTATTATGAACTTTCTCTAGAAAGGCTGATGCTAATCTATCTCCTTCTGTGATAGAATTATGCAAAAAGTTGAACAAGTTCTTCTTATTATGAACTTCTTCTTTCTTCTTCATATGAGGAGTTCTTCTCATTATGAACTTTCTCTGGAAGAAATA